ATCGCTCAGGGCTGCTTGAGCTTTGATTTAAAGAAGAAATTCCAAGACAAGGAATTTCCTGACCTTTTCCAGTTGAGTGCGAATGTGATTAGGTATGAGCGACTGATAAGAGAGGAAGAACAAATGAAAAATTCTAGTAAAGGGACTTATTACAAAGACCCAAATTTTGACGTTCATACCATCGACGATGAGTCATACGATCAGGCCGAAATGTGTTTAGCCGAATTGGTCAAAGGAGATACATATACTTGTCCTATAATGGCTAAGCCTAGACCATCGGGCAAAGATGAGCCCATAAAAGATGGAAACATAAAGGCGAGAACGTTCTCGTTCGACGTGACCAAAGCTGACCTTATATTCGATAAATTATATAGGGATAAGCAGATAAAGTTGAGCGATAAGCACAAATTGCCAAACCCTGAACAAATTAAGGGTAAAAAAATTGTAAGTGGCATAATGCATGGTCACATTTGACTAACAATTGCTTGGTTTTCCGCCATGTATTGCAGGATGCCATTGAATCAGGACGAATTAAGTTCAATGATAAGAAAAAGATGGCAGTGGACGAGAATCCTTTCCCACAGCCACTTGAAGTAAACATGATAACATCTGGATTCAAGAACAAGTTGTCAAAATTCAAGTTGGTCGTAGATGATGGAGAAGAGGATCCTAGACCACATTCCAGCGTCTTTGAACGAATCAAGGGGAAAGAACCAAAAAAGGACGAAGACGTCCTGTGTGCAAGGTGTAAAAGAGAAGTAAATAGAAATACGGAGAAACCAGGGACATGGCAGCATCCTCATCGTCCTACCTTCTTCCCAAACACTTAGCCTGGTAGAGGGCGAGGAATGTCATTCTATAGAGGACCGCCTTTTGAGAGGCAATTCAGACCAGTAGATATTGGAAGAACATTCAGGCCGCAACCTCGCCAGCCAAATGTATGGCATTCATTCCAGTACAGTGCAGGAAGGGCAATACCCTTTGATGAGATGACTAGGACCCAACAAAGCCGTTTCCAATGAAACTACGGACGGATGATGAGGCAGCAGCAGGGAATACCACATCCTAAAACGCCTATACTACTCAAGGTAGCCAATCAAAATGTCCTCAAAAATAGTGAAGAGACCGATACAGATGAATCAATGAAAGAACTGCCAGAAACTTCTTCTGGGAGATCAAGGTTTGAACGAGACAGAAGGGAGGAAGAAGATCCAGATCAGCCCCTTACTATCCAGTTCGGTACATTGCCTCCTGTTGTGGCCAATAATTACTTACTGGCCAATGAATTCAAGAATAAAGAAAAAGAAGAAGAGAGGGAGGACAACGAAGGAGAAGCTTGCGTGCTGGTATGTGAAGAAGGCCAGACTTCTAGAGAGGCCTGCAACGATGAAGAGGACGACGGGATGACAGACATTGAAGAAGAAATCGACCTAGAAGCAGAAAGAAGAAAGAGAGGAGTATCGCGCAATACTCTGTTTAAGCAACTACATCAAGAGGGAGTTCGCGAAGTAGACTTGTTGGGGGAACTATCTGGGCACCTTTTCGATTTCTACGTACTGTACGGGACACCCAAAAGGAAGAAGAGAGTGCCTCGCTCTGAAAAGTATGGGTCACCTCCAAGAATAATGCCCCCTCCCACAGGTTGGATAACTGATGAGGAAGCATTAGAAAGAAGTAGGAAGGAGGTTCAGGAGACAGAGGATCAACGTGATATACTGCACGTCGACTTATCACAGGGGGATAATTCGACAGAAAACAAGCAGGAAGTGGAAATAGAGGTTGCCGAAAAGGTTATTTTTAAACGGCCAGCTATGAAATTGAATAAACACTTGAGGCCATTATACGTTAAAGCTCTAGTT